GAGAAAGGCTGTAGACATTTGTAGGTTAATTTTGTAACCTGCCACTTTACTGAACTTGTTAATAATTTCTAGGAGTTGTCTCATGGTATTTTTGGCATCTCTTAGATACAATATCATACCATCTTCAAAAAGGGATAATTTGATCTCTTCCAATTATTACTCCTTTAATTTCCTGCTCTTGTCTTATTGCTTATGCAAGAGTTTCAGACACTATGTTAAAGAGAAGTGGAGATAGTGGACAGCCTTGTCTGGTTCCTGATTTCAATAGGAATGCTTCCAGTTTTTCTCCATTTAGAATGATGTTGGCTGTGGCTCTGTTATATATGGCTTTGATTATGTTGAGGTATGTTCCTTCCAGTCCAATTCTCTCTAGGACTTTGAGCATAAATGCCCGTTGAATTTTGTCAAAGGCCTTCTCTGCATCTATTGAGATGACCGTGTGGTTCTTGTCTTTGAGCCCATTTATATGATTTACGATATTTATTGACTTATGTATATTGAACCATCCTTGCATCTCAGGGATAAAGCTGACTTGATCATGGTGGAGGATCCTTTTGATGTGTGTCTGTATGTGGTTTGCAAGTATCTTGTTGAGAATTTTTGCATCTATGTTCATTAAGGATATAGGTCTATAGCTTTCTTTTTTGATTATATCTTTACCTGGCTTTGGTATTAGAGTGATACTGGCTTCATAGGAGGAGTTTGGAAGTTCTCCCTCCATTTCTATCTTTTTGCATAAATTAAGCAGTATTGGATGTTGATCTTCTTTAAATGTCTGATAGAATTCTGCTCTAAATCCATCTGGTCCTGGTTTGTTTGTTTTTTTTAATCGGGAGGTTTTGTATTACTGTTTCAATTTCTTTTTGTGATATGGGTCCGTTTAAGCTGTTAATCTCTTCTTGGTTTAGTTTTGGTGGTTCCCATGACTTTAGATATGCATCCATTTCTTTTAGGTTTTCAAATTTAGTAGCATATAGATTTTTAAAGTATTCCCTTATAATGTTCTGTATCATTCTGGTGTCTGTTGTGATGTTTTCCCTTTCATTTCTGATTTTGTTGATTTGCAGGTGCTCTTTCTTTCTTTTGGTTAACTGGGGTAGTGGTCTTTCAATCTTGTTTATCTTTTCAAAGAACCAGCTCTTGTAGTTGTTGATTCTTTGTATTTTTTTGTTTGTTTGTTTGTTTCAATTTATTTAATTTCTGCTCTTGTTTTTGTTATTTCTTCTTGTCTGCTGGGTTTGGGTTTTGCTTGCTGTTGCTTTTCAAGTGTCTTGAGTTGCAATGTTAAGTCATTTATTTGTGTTCTTTCTGATTTTTTGATGTAGGCACTTAGAGCTATAAAATTCTCTCTAAGGACTGCTTTCAGCGTGTCCCAGAGGTTTTGTTGTGTTGTGTTGTCATTTTCATTTAGTTCCAGGAACACTTTTGTTTCTTTCTTAATTTCTCTTTTGACCCATTCATCATTCAGTAGTGTGTTGTTTAATCTCCATGTGTTTATGTGGTGATTAGGGCTTCTTCCAGTGTTGATTGTAAGCTTTATTGCATTGTGGTCTGATAGAATGCATGGAATTATCTCAGTCTTTTTGTATTTGTTGAGGTTTGCTTTGTGCCCCTGTATATGGTCGATTTTGGAGAAGATTCCATGGGCTGCTGTGTAGAAAGTATGTCCTTTGGTGCTTGGGTGGAATACTCGGTAGATGTCTCTTAAGTCCATTTGATATATGGTATTGTTTAATTCAGATGTCTCCCTGTTAAGTCTCTGCCCTGTTGAACTATCTAATGGAGATAGTGGGGTATTGAAGTCCCCTACTATTAATGAGTTGGGATTAATCTGGGTCTTAAAGTCCTGTAGTAATGTTTTCATGAAGTTGGGTGCACCAGAGTTTGGTGAATATATGTTAATGATTGTAAACTCTTCTTTATTTATTGTTCCTTTGATCAGAATAAAGTGGCCCTCTTTATCTCTTCTGATTAGTTTTAGTTTAAAGTCTGTTTTGTCAGATATTAGAATTGCTACACCTGCTTTTTTCTTAGTACCATTTGCTTGGTATATTTTTTTTCCATCCTTTCACTTTAAGATATTGTCTTTCTGGAAAGTGAGGTGGGTTTCTTGCAGACAAAAAGATGGGTTTTATTTCTTAACCCATTCACCTAGTCTGTGTCTTTTGACTGGTGAGTTCAGTCCATTGATATTTAAAGTTAGTAATGAAAGATGAGTATTGAATCCTGTCATTTTTATTTCTTTCTACATTCATGAAGTAGCTGAACTTTTCCACAGTTATACCTTCATTGAATTTCTTTCCTCAATCCCTTGGGTATAGTCATTCCTTTCTTCAGCTCTTTGTATTGCCTCCAGAGCTCTCTCAAGGGATGATTTTGTGGTCATGAATTCCTTCAGCCTATTTATGTCGTGGAAGGTTCTGCTGTTTTTCTTACATGCATGAGAAGCACCGCACATGGCTTAGGATGGAGGTATTCCCACGACTCCTCTTCCTGCCCTTTCGCTGAGAGAGCGATTTCACATTAATTCTTGGTGAAAATTTAAGCTAGGGAAAGTGTTAATCTTTACTGAAAATTTTTTTTTCTCTTGACTGATTTTATCCCTCAGTGAGCATGTAGAAATCTATTTTTGAGGCAGAAGCTTTTATGACTCACCTTGGAGGCCACTCATTTCTGTGTTCAATGGTAAAATCTGTGAGTTTTTCTCTGAGAATTACAACAACCATATTACCTCATAAATCCATTTAGAATGAGTTTCCAGAAGGGAGCTAAATCTAAATTACAGCTTTCCATGAAAGTATATTATGTAATGGAAATAAAGTGAAGTATTGATGACAGTCTAATTATTCTCTTTAAATATAAATGTTTGGGGGATTTTAAAAAACATAGCCACATTTACAAAAATCAAGAATTTACTATATTTGTTCTTATTCTCAAATTTTTAGCATTTGAAAATTTCACAATAAATTAAAAATATTAGAAATGTTAGTTACACGAAATGTGATTCAACTCTCATGTTAATTTTCATTTCTAGATAATTCTAAAGCACTGATTATATTCCTGGTATTTCTGATTATTGTGACATCAATAGCTCTGCTTGTTGTGCTTTATAAAATCTATGATCTGCATAAGAATCGATCCAGGTAAGAGATGATTAATTATTAATTAGAAAGTAATAATGGTATTAAAAATGAATCAAGCTGGGGTCCAGTCAGCAGGGGCAGAGCAGGGTTATATAAATCCCTAAACTAGAGGACACAGCCCAAATTCCAGTTCAGGGCTGAATCTGGGGTCAAGGAATCAACATTTTGTTATGGGTTTGAGTATTTATATTCTCTACTGATGTAATGGGTGGCTTTGCAAACAACCAGTGAAAAGTCTGTATAGCTATTCTTTTAATACTCAGTGAGTGACTGAAATCCGTGACTAGCAAAAGCAAAAGGAAGGGAATACGTGGGAAATGTGTTTACTTCTTTGCCTTCAAAGAGAAATACTTTATGAAAAACAGGAGGATTAAATTAATGTTATTTTCTCACGCATCAGGATTTCACAGGCTACTGCCGGTTGTTGCTTTTTTCCCTCCCTCACTTTCCTGTGTTCCTCTCCAAGTTCCTCTCACCTCTCCTCTTTGCAGTCCTTCTGTCCTTCCCACCTCCAAGCTTGCCTCTGTTTCCCCAGCTTCTCTCCTCGCTCCTAGTTCCTTCCTCTTCAGTACATTCAGTAAATAAAGTTGGCTTAGTTAAGTTGAATGTCAATCAATTCCAATGTTTCTTAAGAACATAGAAACGTGTGTTTCTTATTTCTCACAGCAATTCAGATGAACAACAGGAACTTGTTGTAAGGGGTAAGTATGAACATTGCTCCCTTGAATTTGAGTTCATTTGTTTTGAAATAAGCATTGGGCATGTTCAGTTTAATCTGGACTTCCTCCACTGACAATACAATGATGAAACAAATTCATTTATTCAAGAAGCAGTTATCCATAAGGCTCCCAGGGCATGAAAGACACTGTTCATGACACTCGAGAGCTGCATGACAGATTGCAAGCTCTTTCCTTTAAGGATTTAGAATCTAGTAGAGGAAACATATTGATGGATAAGACAGCAATTTGGTAAATATCAAACTGTTCAGTGTGTGTAGGTCTATAAAGTTAGAGAAGACAGGAAACTGCCTGTGGAGAGGGCAGCAATCTGATTGGCTAGGGTTACAGGAAGGTGCCAAACCAACTAATACTGATGAAGGAGGGGCAGAACAGCAGATGGTGTCCCATGGGCCATAGAGGTGAGGAGGTGGTGAACTTCTTCAGGCCTTGGGGGGAGGGGGAATGGACCGTTACCACTAGAGGTAAAGCTATGAAAATTACAAACATTGACTTAGAGAAAGAAAAGAAATTCCTTCTTCCATTTTAATGCTAGTTCTTAAAATGTTATAAGTATATTCCAATAAAAATGCCATAAGAGATATTTAAACTATAATAAATGTAACTTGTTTTCTCTTAAAACGTGTCTCCCCTGCCTTATGTTAACTCATGTTTGAGGGTTCCTCATGACAGCTGCAGACACCAAGCTGGTGTGCAGATACTTCATGGCTGGTGCTTTGGTGCTTAGCTCATTTTATTTCCTTTTGCAGAATGTACTCCGACCTGACACTGTTACATTTTCTTATTTTTTGTTGATTCTTCTCCCTTAAATGGACTGTAGACTTTGGGGAAGGCAGGAAGGTTTCTCTCTATTTCAGTGCTCTGTCCCTAGTGCTTGGGTGAGTGTATGACTTTGGTGTGTGTCAGTGAATAAATGAATTAACAAGATGGCAGGTCCACAGCATTATTTCTGCTAGTCTGAGGGGAGAATGAAGAGCAGAGGACTAATAGCACCTCAGCAGAGAGTAGAAAACATTTCAAGGAGTCCAGGTGGATCGGAGCGTACCAAATATTTTCTCTTGTGATGAATACTAATTGCAACTTGGAATGTATTAGAACTTACCCACCCCAAAGGGTGCCCTGAGCTCAAAGCAGATGTGCTCTAGAGATCTTCAGCAACCCACAGAGCTACTGCACCTGGCCAGTGTGGTAGGGTAACTGTGTTTGGAAGAAAGTTTCAGGGATAGTAAGATGAATAAGCTACCCTCAAGGACAACTTCCATTTTCACTGACTGTGGGGACAGTTAATATCGGGCCTGAAAGAAGAACCTGCAACAGGACACGGAGGAGTGGGAGAAATATGTGACAGCACAGAGCTCCTCACCCTTTATATAATGATGGCTTGTCAAGTTCCACACACAAATGTAGCTATCAATGATAGATTTTCATAAAAGGACACTGTTTAATAGAAAGCCAGGGAAGTATGCGTCTATATTCTAGTATGTTTCTTTTTGTTGTGTTCACTCTAGAGAAAGTTTTATATTCTGGAGGCATAACAGATGAGTAAGATTTTTCCACAGTGTAGTGTAAACAGATGATCAAATTAAGCTGACTAGTGGGCCAATGGGTGTTAATCATTTTCTCTTTTTTCATTTTTACAGTTACAGTGTTTCACAAACAGTTAAAGACGAAGCTGACGATAGTGCTCATGGGTAGACAGCTTAGCGCATATGAGGCCCTAGGTTTTAATTTTCAGCAGCATAAATACATAGATACAGGGAAAACAGACACAGAAAGAGAGAGAATAAAATTAAAAATAACTCAATATATAGAAATCCATTAATTATTTTAAAATGCATATCATCAGGGGAAAAAAGCATGAATGTCCTAACTAGAATAGTTTGGGCCTGGGCTCTTTTATCGAGACATAGAAAAAAGGGAAGCACAGTTTAGTAGAGGGGACAGTACAAAGCCCAGAGGAAGATGGGGGTACAAGATTTAGAAGTCATTGATTTATATGTGGATGTTTATATGTGAATGAGATTTCCCAGGCAGGCAGAAAGAAAGAAACTAAGAATTAAGCCAAGATCTGAACTTCTGAACTGTATTAAAACATATGTATTTGACAGATAGACACAACATTAGTCTTAGATTTTTAAAATGTTTACAGATGATGAAAAGCAACTGATGGATGTAGAGCCAATTCATGCAGATACTCTGTTGGAAACATATAAAAGAAAAATTGCTGATGAGGGACGGCTTTTTCTGGCTGAATTTCAGGTATGTGTTGTCCTTGATATAGGCTAAGAAATTCCACATGGTCATCAAAATGATTCGATGTTAAATATATTTGCATAATCAAGAGTCTATCCACAGAACACTGCAATGTAATACAGACAGGTATTATAATATATAGGTGGCAGGCTCACAGAGGTTGACAAGGTAATACACAATATGAAGTTGGTAACTACTGTAACATAATGCTTTGCTGTATTGTGTCTGATTATGAAGCTCTGTCACAAGCATATTTGACTAATTGTAGATGATTATCTAATAATCTCTCATTCGTGTGAAGTTTTGAATGTCACAACTAGTTCTATATTTTTGGTTTTCCATTAAATTTGTTCTGAAAATAATCTATCACCAATTTTTAAAGGAAATATATTGATTTTTGCACTATTCTTAATAATATTAATTTCAGATACCTCATGTAGCATGTTTGTCAGTATAAAGGATGTATCTATAAGATATCTCATTTACCTCCAGTGGTAACTGGTAAAGGAAAAAAAACTTATTTTCTGAAATCTTTGACTCAAAGAGTCTTTGTGTCTTTCAGAGCATTCCACGGGTATTCAGCAAGTTTTCTATCAAAGATGCACGGAAGCCCTTTAACCAGAATAAAAATCGTTATGTTGACATCCTCCCCTGTGAGTTCTTGCTGCAAGCTGACTTTCTAGATATTTAAGCTACATGATTCTCAGTATTTCAGTGTTCGAACCTTCTTCTCTTTGAACAGATGACTATAACCGGGTTGAACTCTCTGAAATAAATGGAGATGCAGCATCCACCTACATCAATGCCAGCTACATTGATGTGAGTAAAACAGGCAGATTACCTTACAGCCTCATCATTGGATAATTGACAATTTGCATTATTCTTGTAGCTAGGCATTCCACTCAGTTTTGTGTTTTGGCAAAATTTTAGAGAAGTTATTACAAATATTTTGAAATGAAACCTATGAGATTACTGTTATAAACAACAAGGCCACTCATGTTTATAAAAATCATCATCTATTATTTGCTTGCTCGTGCTGGAAGTAGCATAGGACTTTCTTTGTGGAAATTAAAATCAGTCCCACTATGTGCTGCGTGATGTCTTCAAGCATTTCTAATAAAATCTGTATTTGCCCCAACTATGTACATTATGCTCACTGAATTCATTGTGAGTGGGAGAATCAGGCTAATCAGGTATCAGGTTCATGTTCACATACTTAGTGAATGGCTGGACTGGAATTCACCTAAGGCCTACCTGACCCAAAACCTTTGTGCTTCCCTTAAATACACCAGACTGTGGCAGTGATGTGACACTGATCACCTCTCCGTTGTAATTATGCAAGTGAAAAATATCTGCACATGGTAAAATTTTGAAAGTATTTTAAAATTTAGCATATGTAATTAGATATTTTAAATTTTATATACAAATATATGTTTTGCCTGCATCTATGTAAGCACCCACAGAGACCAAAAGAGAAAGTCAGATTCCCTGGAAATGGAGTTACAGACACTTGTCAGCTTCCATATGGTGCTGAATACTGAACCTGGGTCCTCTGTAAGAGCAGCCAGTGCTTTTAACTGCTGAGCCATCTCTCTAGTTCCTAGCATATATCATCTTAAAGTAAGTAATGTTTAATATGAGTTAAATAGTTACGCACAGTAAAAAGACATACACAGGCTGAAAATATCTCCTCATCAAACTTCCAAATTTCCCAACATCTTCTCCTGTCAGGAGAGACTTATTTGTCTGAACAGCTTCTCCATACAAAAACAAAAGACTGACATTTACCAAATCTCCCTTATAAAAAATTCTATTATATTCCTACAGTGAGGAATCTTGTATTCTTTGCTAAATATTCATATATGTGTACCATAGATATGCATACATATATGCATATATGCCCATGTATAGATGTATAATATATGAACTGGATATATAGGTGTCTAAAATATTTGCAAATATGTAAACTCTATCTTTATGTACCTGGGACATATGTGAGCTTACTATAAAAAACAGGGATCAGTAGACTCTTCCTGTAAGGGTCAGAGAGTACGTATGTTCAAACCTTATCTTTATCACAGCTATTCAACTCTTCCATGAGTGGACAATCTTTCCTAGACAACAATTAATCTAGCTATGTGGTCAGGCCATGCTAAATTTGCTGCAGCAGGTCTGAATTATATACCAGACTCAACCCTCTGGCAAAATACCTGACAAAAACAATCAAGAAAGGAAAGGTTTCTTTTGGCTCATTGTTTGAGGGTACAGCACATCATGACAAGGAGGGTACAGTTACAGAAGTGTAAGGTTGCTGATCACATTGCATCTGCAATCGAGTAGCAGAGAGAAATGGATGCTAAGGTTCCCCTCACCTTCTCATTAAGTTGAGGACCCTTCTCAAGGGAACAGTACCACCTACAGTCAGGGTGAGTCTCCCCAACCCAGTGGAACTTTTCTGACTACTCCTTCATGGATGTACCCAAGCATTTGTCTCCTAGGTGACTCTAAGTCCTTCAACTTGACAATCAGGATTAACCATTGCAAGACCTGGGGAAATGGCTCAGTATAAAGAACACTTGTGCTCTTGCGAAGGACCAGAGTTCTGTTCCCAGCACCCACTTCAGGTGTCTCACAACCACCTGCAACTTCAGTTTTAGGGGATCTGATGCCCTCTACTCTACAGGCACCTGCACACACATGGTGCACACACATACAACACACACAAATTAAATTAATCTTACAAAACCGCCATAAGTCATAGTTTAATAATTCTAGACCTAGAGCATTTTACATATTTCCATTTTTATAGAAATTCATGGTACACTTGTTTATTTAATCAGCTCTTATTTAATTTATATTAATATGTAGTTTATAACTTTTTATTACTGTAAGCACGGTGTAATGAACAACCTTAATTCATGTTATTACACTATGTTTTTCAATATATCTATAGGATAAATTTCTAAAAGAAGACTTTTAGGTCCAAAGAACATATATATTTATTCTTTAAAAAAATTCTAAAAGGTGGTTACTCTAATTTATATTCCACTTAAAACATATAAAATTGCTTTTCTGCAAGGTGTGGTAGTGCGCACCTCTAATCCAGCACTTGGAAGTCACAGGCAGGCGAATCTATCTGAGTTTGAGATCAGCCTGGTCTCCATAGTAAGTTCCAGGCCAGCTGGGACTACAGGGAGAATCTGCCTCAAAAAAAAAAAAAAAAGTGCTTTTCTCCATAAAATTTTGTAAGAATTTGCTGTCAAAAACTACTTAGGGTGTTGGAGAGATGGCTCAGCAATGGTGAGGAGTGCTGGCTGCTCTTTCAGAGGACCAGGTTCGATTCTCAGTGTCCACATGACAGTTAACAACTGTCGGTAACTCCAGTTCCAAAAGAATCTCATGCTCTTTTCTGACCTCTACAGGCGTAGCACAATATGGATGCACTTATAAACATGCAGGCAATACACTCATATACAAAAAAAAATTTTTTAAACTAGTTTAATAATCAAATACTTGACAAAGTGTATGCTATACTGTGTATGTTGGTTTATGTGGCAAATTCTCAAAATATTCCTAAAGAATGAGCAGTTAAAATTGAAGTGCTTCTGCTGTCCTTTTGCCTACTTAAAATGCATAAGATGTATTGGGGTTGAAGGTCAAATTTCACATTATAATAGCTTACATATTGTGTTACTGGAGAGATGGCTGTTTACACTGGCTGTCCTTGCAGAAGACCCAGGCTCGAATCCTAGTACTCACATGTAAGCTAACAACTGTTCTAGATGTCTAGGGAATCTGATGCTCTCTTCTGTCCTCTGAGGGCACTGCACAACATGGGTGCACTTACATACATGCAGGCATAACACTCATACACAAAATAAGTTTTAGAAAATTTTAAAAATAATTTATATATTTCAACAGGCATTAGTTTCCAAGGTCTGGCATAACAAAGTGTCTTACTCTAATTAAGAGACAAAATGACCAACAGTAACAGTATGTGAAGGTGCTTTACAGACAATGGTAGACTGGTACTATCCTTTGAAATATTCTGGAAAAAAATTCGTTTTGCACCCTTTGTATGTTCAGAATATAGCATTATCAGAAACCCTCAAAAAATAAAATAAAATAAAAAAGAATAAGAAAAAAATCTTTAAAATAATACAAATTTATTTTCTCAGAGCTTTTGAGCTCATGTATAACAAAACAAGGTGTCAGCTGAACCATGTTCCTTCTGAGGTCTCTGAGGAAAATCTGATTTTGCTATTTTCTGGCATCTAGAGGTTTCCAACAGTCCTTGGAGTTTGCTGGCCGATGGCCTCCACTCTCCAGGCTCTGTGTCCACCTCATGGTCTCCTTCTTTTTGCATCTGGTCCTGTGCCTTCATGTTCTGTCCCTTCCACTTATTCAGACACTGACCACTGCACTTATGATCCCCCCTCATAACTTATGACATCATTTTAGTTTTCAGATCCACAATGACACAATTTTCATATAAAGGCATTTTTCTGGGGCTCCACATGAACATGAACTTTAGAGAAACACAATTCAGTACACTGGACATAATTTATGTAAAAGTGCAAAATAATTTAATAATATTTTCTAATTGTGTCTTTCATAAACACTGCATCTTCAACATCTGTGTCATAGTCCTTAATAAAGCTCCTGTTTTGTACATCTAATAATTTTATAAAGCCAAATTATTGACACAAATGATTGTGACTGTTTGATAACATTATAATTTATTAAGCACATTTGGTATTTATCAATAATAGCTCTTAGCACTTTACTTGTATCAATTCAAGTAAATCTCACACCAACTCACACTATGAGGTATATCCAATTGTGCTAGGAGAATCAGAAACATACATGTTCTGTCTCTGAAGATATCACTCTAAACCTTGTCACCCACCAAAGCTTTTAGACACCTAACATTTTTTTGTATTCTTATTTAACATTATCTTGTAAATTTTCAGTAACTAAGTATCTCCTGCCATGTGTTCACAATTTCTGCAATACAAACTCTTATTATTTTTTGCATAGTCTCTACAAAGCTTGTTTCCAGGGACAACCAGTACTTGCAAATGTGAAGGGTAGTCCACAAATTAACTTAGTACTTGGTCATAATTTTCATCTCAATTTTAACTGATTCTGGCAAGTGACCTCCACAGGCCATTATAATTAGTAGTGATCGAGTTTTATTTTAGTATACACTAGTTTCTTTTCCAATTTTTTGTTCTTCAAAAGAAGGTAATTGAGTGCAGTCTTGGCAATGCTAGAGATTTTGCAAGGATTTAGATAGTCTAGCAAAAAATAGCCTATGTATTCTATTCAAACACATACGATAATTATGGGATCAAGTTATAATTGTGTTTCTCCAGCAAAGTGCCGAGACCCTGGGAAGCACAGGTCTTCAGGTTTTACAGAGGTCCTTGACATACTGTAGCCTCTCAATAGGAGCTTGTTGAATAAATGAACATGACTAATACTGTCAGGAAAAGTTACTAATATTAACTGAGAATTCTTGTAGCTCGTGTGCAGAATTTCATTTACTGGCAAAGGCAATCTCTGTCTATGGAATTTTTCCCCTGACTAAGATAAACTTAAGGTTTTTGAGGGATTTTTGGAAGGAATTAACATATTCTCTCTACTTCTGTGCCCCTCCTTGTCCTTGTCACTGGAGCAGAGAAAACAGACAGTGCAGGTCATGGCCACTTTTATATTCTGTATCTGAAATGACATAAAAGGATGCCAGGGAATCCACAGTGTATTCCAAACAGTTGATACATGGAAATACAGGTGTAATTTCAGTGGGATTTACTGAAAGAAATTGAGTAAAAATATGAAAAATAACTCCATGGCTGGTAAAAAGACGTAAGTAATAGGAGATACTGTTAGGGTAGGTGGGGTATAAACAAGAGGTCTGGATACTTTTCTACATTTATGCACCTTCCCCAGATTAGGGTGAAATCTAATTTTAAGTTGTTTGGAGTATATGTCAAAAATACATGCAGGTTATGAATATTGTTTACCAGTGCTAACTAGCCTGCTCAGCACAGTTAAATGTCTCATTACATATTAATTAAACCCCAGCACTGACTTGAAAATACCCAGAAATATTTACAATCATGATGTAGTTAAATCAATTTCTTCTGCCTTATAATTTTGCATGTTAATAAACAAGTGTTCCACAAATGACTTTTCTCTTGGTGTCTTTTCACTAGGGCTTCAAAGAACCCAGGAAATATATTGCTGCACAAGGTAATTCATTCCTAGCCTAGTATTATGTTTCAACTATTGTTTATGTAACAGTTCTAAGAAAGTATTTCCTAACTAGCATTTAACTCTTAGGCCCCAGGGATGAAACGGTGGATGACTTCTGGAGGATGATCTGGGAGCAGAAAGCCACAGTGATTGTCATGGTCACACGATGTGAAGAAGGAAACAGGGTAAGAACCTAGGAAACTCAGAGTGGAGGCTGGGACTGTGGAAAGAGAATGCAGGAAGAGCCACAGACACGTAGTTTGTGAGCAGTACAATCAATGCTCAGTCATTTCATTTTCATTAATGTTTTTATATGTATGTGTCTTGCCCACATATATGTAAGTGCACCATGTGCCATGGACTGCCTGCAGAGGTCAGAAGAGGGCATCAGACCTCTTGGAACTGGAGTTACAGACAGTTGTTAGCCACTATGTGGGTACTGGGGACCAAAACTGGGTCCTCTGCAAAAGCAGTCACTTGACCACTGAACCATCTCTACAGGCCCCAATTTTCTATTTTAATCAGTGTAACATTTTACTTATATATTTACACATGTAGAAAATGAAAATTTGTGTATAAATATACAGATGCCTAGCATTCAAATGTATTGAATTAATTGTGAGACTTTTATTTGGTATTTGTTTTCTTCAGCATTGTTAGAAGTTCAAAAGTCAAATAAAAGCCTCAAAATTGATCCAAATGGTAACTTCAATGCTGAGAGAATAAAAGCCTTTGGGTCCCAAGTCTGAAAGTCACCCCAAGCAAGCAAACACTTTTGCTGAACATTTTAGTGTCCTCTTGTAATGGGTGGTTAAGGCTGGGAAGGTCATCCTTCCAGTAAATGGTAGAGGGAAAACTTTCCAGACACATTAATGGGACGTAGAGCACATTTCAGCTGAAGCGGTCTAGATGATTCAAGAAGTATGTGCAACTATTTCAGTAATTACAGTTGGATACATTTTTAATATTTTTGGTGTTTTAAGAGTAAGTGAAAATTGTTTAAAGGATACATTAATGATTTAAGGGGAGATCACTAATGATTCTTTTTAACTGTAGAACAAATGTGCAGAATACTGGCCATCCATGGAGGAAGGCACTCGAGCCTTTAGAGATGTTGTTGTAAAGATCAATGAACACAAAAGATGTCCAGATTACATCATCCAAAAACTGAGTATTACAAATGTGAGTTGGTTTCATTATATAATTTTTACTTGATATGGGGTTTTGTAAAAGTGCAATTATGGAATATTAGATGTGAGAAAATAAAACATGTATGGGAAATTATTTTTAATGATATTTATGAGAAAGAGCTAGGCTAGGATGATATAGGAAGCCGACAGGATCAAATTTAAATCTCTGATCAATTTGTTTGTCTACACAATTTGTTTGTCTACATCAAATCAAAATTATCTATGAAGCTGGATTCTTGAGTAATAAAAAAGAGAGTTTACTAGATGTTCTGAGTCAATGATGAATTATTAAGTGAATAAATAGACATTATTTTCAGTCATCTCTTAGCACCAAGGAAAGAATGTTTATACAAATGGCATACTTCATGAACACAGTAAGAAATACCAATTTCTGGCTATATAGTAGAGATACTTAGTTCAGAAAATAAAGAAGTCAGTGTGACCTTGGTAAAAGTTGAAATGGAGGTCATCTCTTATTATGCAATTTTATTTCAAGGAAAATTCCAGCAAACAAGCCTAAAAAGGCTGACAATGGATTAGTGGCTGCCTTGGGTTGAGGGGTTAGAACAGGAAGTGACAGCGGGTTGGATTCAGGCCTTCATTTTACAGTGACAAAAATGAGAGTAATTAGTGATGATAGACTATTATGAATATAATAAAATTCTTTAAATGGGTAATTTGTGTGTGTTTGTGTGTTGTGTGTGTGTATTAATAGTGTGGTCTAAACTATCTTTACTGAGACTTAACTAGAAAGTTAAAATTTTCACTGAATTCTATTTTTTGAAGGGCTCTCAATAATCAAAATTTATTTGTGTAAAGCACAGACACATTTTTTTCAGGAGAAGCAGACTTGGTTGCATTTTTTCCAAGGCTGTCTGTGGCTCTGTTGGCATGTCCCCTAGCTCTTCTCGGGTGTGACCAGCCCTACCTATATGACTAAGGCGCAAGGACCATCCCATAGATAGGGGAGACCATCTAGAGGCTGATACATAGCTGGTCACTGTGATTAGTTTGAAGCATGTATTATTAATGAATTTAGCTATTTTCTGTTGGGAAACTACAAAGTATGATTCAGCTACGGGTGAACCTATGGAGTAGAATGCTAACCATGTACTTAGACTTTCTGCACTTGAGAAATTCTCCCATTTTCTGGTTGTGCCAAGCAGAATTCCAAAAGCTGTGAAGATGACCTTTCTTCCGTATTTTTAAAAATATTTTCTTTATTATTTTTATTTTATGTGTATGCGTATATTGCCTGCATGCATGTGAGTGCACCCGTGTTGTGCAATGCCCGCGGAGGACAGAAGAGGCTGTCAGATCTCCTGGAACTGGAGTTACGGACAGTTGTTAGCTGCCATGTGGGTGGTGGGATTCGAACCCACACCCAAGTCTCCATCCCAGATCCCTCTTTCAGTGTGTCTTGATTTTTATTCGTTATTAGTTTTGCAGCCTGAAATGTCTCGAAGTTTCAGTTATCCTTCCTTTTCCTTGCTCTGCACGGCAGCCGCTGCGCATTGGGTAGTGCATGCGTGTTCTGAGGATCTCTCCTGTGGTTGGTAGTAACTGGAGAGGAAATGCAGTCTGACCGGCAAACAGAGAAGCAGAATGTCCCGGCCGAAGTCGGGGACAGTTACTTTCACAGGAAGAGTCCCTTGCGTTGGCCCTTCTCCCTACTTACTTATCTCACCTACCTTGCTCTGAAAAGAAATCATCTCAATGAAAACGTTATCTCTTGACTAGAAAAAAGAAAAGGCCAGCGGAAGAGAAGTAACTCATATCCAGTTTACCAGCTGGCCAGACCACGGGGTCCCCGAAGATCCTCACCTGCTGCTCAAACTGCGGAGGAGAGTAAACGCTTTCAGCAACTTCTTCAGTGGACCCATCGTGGTGCACTGCAGGTAAAGGCTTAGGCCACAAGTCTGCCTGCGGGTGTCCAAAGCCTTCGCGTTGGTCGGTTAGGGGCACTCTTCTTAACGGTTCTTATTTTGGAAACAATCTGCTAAGAGAAAGCTCCATTCCTTTCTCAAACAATTTTTAGTATAAACTGGCACTTTGTAATTACATATATTCATAGGAATATAAACTGATATTATGCTCTGTCACTAAAATTGCAAGAGACAGAATATGGACATTTCTGCCTCCTTGCCTCCGTCCCCGGTGAATGCTGCTCCTCCTCTTTCTTGGCATGATCGCAGCTCACTTTTCTTGTTTTACATTTATTGTGTGTGTGTGTGTGTGTGTGTGTGTGTATGTGTGTGTATATGTGTGTGTATGTGTCTGTGTCTGTGTTTGTGTATATGTGTGTCTCTGTGTGCGTGTACGTGTCTCTGTGTGTGTGTGTGTGTGTGTGTGTATGTGTCTGTGTCTGTGTTTGTGTATATGTGTGTCTCTGTGGGCGGGTACGTGTCTCTGTGTGTGTGTGTGTGTATGTGTGTGTATATGTGTGTGTCTGTGTGTGTGTATATGTGTGTGTATGTGTCTGTGTCTGTGTTTGTGTATATGTGTGTCTCTGTGTGCGTGTATGTGTCTCTGTGTGTGTGTGTGTGTATGTGTGTGTGTATGTGTCTGTGTCTGTGTTTGTGAGGTTGACACCGGCCATCTTAGCTACTCTCCACCTTGATTGTGTGTGTGTGTAGGTAAGAGGGCAACTTTATGGTGTCAGCTCCAAGGATTGAACATAGACCATGAGGCTTAGGCAAGCACCTTTACCTCAGCAGGGCGACCTCAGGGGCCCTGCGCCTCACTTCTCATTTGTTTCCTCAGTGCTGGTGTTGGGCGCACAGGCACCTACATTGGAATTGACGCCATGCTGGAAGGCCTGGAAGCAGAGGGCAAAGTGGATGTCTACGGTTACGTAGTCAAGCTGAGGCGACAGAGGTGTCTTATGGTTCAAGTGGAGGTACATTCTAACTTTTAATTATTTGTTCACTTTTGTTTTGGGACTTAAAACTTTTGGGCATAGTATTAAGGATGTGTGTGTGTGTGTGTGTGTGTGTGTGTGTGTGTGTATTCACAACTTCAGACAGTGGATGAAGATTGTTTTAATGCCTTGAGAATGAAACCCTTATATCTGATTTCAAATCACAAACATATAGCACTCGCTGAAACATCTTATAGGACAGGGATGAGCAAAAACAATGAAATGCTGTTAACAGGCATCAGCCTGGCGGGGGTGGAATCAGATTCAGGAACTTTACATGAAACGAGGAGACAAAATATAGGGTCAGCATCTCCTTTTGTTTTTCTTGGTTTTGTATTTTTTCTCAGACAAGACCTCACTATGCAGCTCAGCTGGCCTTGAACTTTCAGCAATACCTCTGCCTCAGCCTCCCAAGTGCTAGGATAACAGGTGTGAACCACCACATTCTGTGAGAATGTGGCTTTCTGAACTAGGGTTCAGCAGTTCAAATACTGCCTTGAATTCTTAATCCTATACATTTTTGAACAAGGCTTAATCCTTCTATGCCTCAGCTCAGTCATCCACAAAGTGGTAATAGTGGTGAGATAAAGGTACCGTTTATCTCATAGATTTATAACAAAAAAGAGCAAAATGGTAAATACGAGTTGAAGCATTTAGTCAAGCTCAGGGCACACACCATGCATTTGGTAACTGTCAGTGGCAGTTACTGGAAATGTCTGTAGTTAGCAGCAACATACCATGTGTATGAATGTCTGTAACTAGAAACAGATGCAGCAATGGTCCTTGGATTTAGCATAGTTAGAATGGCAGAATATTGGGAATGCTCAAACGCATATCAGGAGGGAATGGAAAAATCACAGGCTGTGGCAGCAAAGGAAACGCTCCAGTCTGGGTTCTTGTGGCTGGATGCAGAGGTGGGAACCATTTGTGAATCAATACCAATGAAATGCATGTGGTTATATGCCTGTAGATGAATGCATGCTAGTGCAGAAGTATAAAAACTGGTTGATAACAGGAAAAAATGAAGTAATTTTAAAAATCAGACTCAAAAGATATGCCAAACTAGAGATGGTAGTTTGAAAGGCTTATTAGAAATACATCATTTCCTTAAAAACCTAAAAAAAAAATCTAGTTTCATAACAAAAATATTAGAAGTTGCTACATATGGGTTTGGCACACTAGATCTAGATCTTAAATAATTATCTCTATTTAAGAAAAGTGCTATAGGAGCTGGAGAAATGGTTTAGTGTTTAAGAGCACTGGCTGCTCTAGTAGAGGACCTGAGTTCAGTTCCCAGCACCCACATGGTGGCTAACAACCATCTATAACTCCATTTACAAGGGATCTGATGCCCTCTTCTGACCCCTAGTGGCATTGCACTAATAGGTGCACTTACATACAGGCAGGCAAAACATTCATACGCATAAAATAATAATAAAGAAAGCAAGTGCCATAACTTTGAACACTGTATTTATCAACCTGCTTTTTCCTAATATTCTGTGAAATGTAGTATGGGTTTACAGTAGTCATTTCAATCTCAATAATAATCAGTGAAGAAAGTAACAGGCTGTGCTTAAAAAAATGTAAGGCATAAGATAAAAGCCATACACAGTGGATACTCTGTTGGACCAGTTTCCAGAATGGTTACATGTTTACAGATGTCAACTTTTAGTTCTTAAGCCACACATCTTCCCAATGTGATCAAGTTTGTGCATTGCATATTTTATTTCAATGTAGCATGTGGAGCTCTTTGCTACCATTAACTGTGTGTATTATTCTCTGATATTGCAGGCACAGTACATCTTGATCCATCAGGCCTTAGTAGAATACAACCAGTTTGGAGAAACAGAAGTGAACTTGTCTGAATTACACTCATATCTACACAACATGAAGAAGATCGATCCACCCAGTGACCCCTCGCCTCTGGAGGCAGAATTCCAGGTAATAATGATCACAGCAAGTGGCACTGTTTACAAGTAACTTCACTGAGCGTGACCTGTTTTCCAAGTGCTTCCTAGGCACTTGGCTAGTAGCCGGTTGAGCACCAAAGAGGAAACCAAAACTCAGGGAGCTGAAAAGAAAACAAGAGGTTTGTTTAACTCCAGAAGTGTGATTTGGTAACTTTTACTTCATTACGCTTATACTGAAGACATATCAAAATAACTGTAGTGATCACTGAATAGTCTGTCACAAGCAGTTGCAGCATCTCACCTTTAAACACTGCATCTGGTTTTGGTTTCCAAAGGAAATAATTAGAAGAATTTATGACTGATTAGGAAGTTGAACTGGCTGGAGATGGTAGACAGAATATAAGGCAAGTATGTATATCCCAACCTCTTTATTAGGTCATCATTTGAAAACTAACTAAGGATGTCGTTTATCATGACTCCAGAAAGCTGACATAGCCAACCTCAAGTTGCTTAGTTTTCTCTTCCACCTGTAATTTCCAGTTTATTGAGTTTTTCTATAAACTACAAACTGGCCAGTTTCATAAGGGCAGGGATGTGCTTTTAACCGGATACAGACCACTTAACTGTTTAGGATCAAAGTGGGGCTGAGGTAGGAGAGTGGAAGTACCATCTAATGATCCTGAGTTCCATAGTCCACCAGAAGCTCCTTCTTCACAGTGGGAAACCAGCAGGCACAGTACCACTTGAATATAGGGTCTTTACTGTTTGTTACTGCTCTCTTAGCTGATAAATGTATCCTGCCTTCACTAACCCACTCATGTATATGTGTTGTCAGGTGATGCTGATATTTTTTAAATAAACGAAATAAAGACAGATTAATTTTTCTTTTTAAAATATTTTATTTTTTAATTTTATTGTGTGAATGTATTGCCTGCACATGTGTAAGTGCACCCATGTTGTACAATGCCTGAGGAGGTCTGAAGAGGGTGTCAGAGCCCCTGGAACTGGAGTTATGGACCGTTGTTAGCTGCCATGTGGGTGCTGGGAATCTAACCTGGGTCCTCTGCAAGAGCACTCAGTGCTCTTAACCACTGAGCCATCTCTCCAGCCCTGAATTTTTCACTGAACAGGTATGATTGAGTTTCTGCTCTGTCAAGAATACAACTGTCGGTACAGGAACCAAAGTGTTTTGCAAGTAGACATGTAGAGAAATATACGAGAAAGCATCATCCAGCACACACATGGCTGGAACTCTATGGAGACCAATGAACTCATGCCATCTGAGGAGACAGAAAGACAGATAATAAGGGTAGAGATGCTGTTTGTTTGGAAAATTTGCTGATGGGAAGTTGGAATAGTTTTTATGTGATTATTTTTCCTTTTTTAAATAATAGATTTTAAATTTGTTTTTTGGTCTTTTTTGAGACAGGGTCTCCCTGTAGCCCCAGCTGGCCTAGAACTCACTATGTAGACCAGGCTGGCCTTAAACTCACAGAGATCCTTCTGCCTCTGCCTCCTGAGTGCTGGGATTAAAGGCATGCACCACCATGCCCGGCTTAGATTTTAAATTTTATTTGACAAATAATTCTACATATTTTTGGAGGAGAGTAAGGCATCCTGAAACACATATACTATGTAGGACAATCATATAAAAGAGTTACATTATTTCAATCCAGATTACCTTTAATTTCTGAAGAAAATATAAGGCAAAATTATTAATGGAGAGCTGAGGGGAAAAAGCTGTGCAGGTCAAACAGGTCTTAATGGTGGAGGAAGGGGAAAGATTATGATGTAGCTATCGAAAAGACAATGGAATGATCAAAAACCATGGTCTGATTATTTGAAATTGATGACCATGAGTCTAAGTATCAGTCAATAGTATGAATTGAGTTCTCTGAGGATAGAGGTTACATAAACCCATCTAGATTTGAAAAGCAGTTACATGAAAGAAGCTGAGGGTATTTGTAAATGAATGATTATAGCAATGGATAATGATATCGGAAGTGGACACATAAAAGTCATGAAAGAACTAGGCATGGTGGTGTATTCCTTTAATCTCAGCCCTTGGGAGGTAGAGGCAGGTGGACTTCTGTGAGTTCGAGGCCAGCCTGGTTCACATAGTGAGTTCCAGGCAGGTTGGGACTAGGGAGACCCTGTCAAACAAAAAGTCATGAAAGAAAGTAGAAGAAAAATATATTGGAGGTTTTAATAGAATTATAGATTGCTAGGCAAATTTCATTCACAGAGATGGTTGAAATCATTATTTCAGAAATGATATATTGACTGTAATAAAGCTTACAAAGGTAGGATAGTGAAAGTTAAGGGGTCAGGAATGGAAGGAAAGTTCCGAGGAGGTGTAAAAGATGAAGCTATAACAACACTTGGTAGGCTCTTCTCATCAACATTGAAGTAACTAAGGAGATGAATATCTTGAAGGAGAGAGCCCATTAAACTAAACTTAATGAGGTCAGGTGCTCTTGAAATCAGTAGCTGACACCTCTGAGTGGCACTGAATAACACATATAATAAGAGGGAAAGAAAATAAAATTCATTAGATTATGTAAGTGTGATATTAGTGTAAATGGTTTGCAAGTAGAGTTACGGCGCAAAGAGAATATATAATTATTATTTAAACTGTGAGACAAAAGGTAAGAGAGAGGCAACAGTTTAGCTTCCCGAGGGTGTTATCTAGTAGTATTCACTCAGCATAAAAAAGAAAAGAAATTTCTTGGAGAAAAGGATTAGGACAAAGTTTTACTGATGACAAACCATGGCTGCCAGGGAGCAGAGAGGAAGGTGTTGATTACTGAGCCAATAGTATCACGTTAGCTTTTCCTGGGGAATCATGAGCAAACTCTTCATCCCAGATAGGACACTAATGACAAAGCTATGATTCCACCAGAGTCCAACTTGGTGAACCAAAGAGCTCATTAGGAATACTTACAGAGCATGAGAAATGGTTACTTAGAGAGCATGGGTGATGTCAATGCTAAGTCCTGCCCACCCTATCATGGAAGATAGTCTCATGGAAGCTTCATCATGAAGTCTCCCTTTCAGTTCAGCTCCCATTTCTTACATACCCCAGCATCATCCAAGACCACGTGCAGCTGAGAGGAGGTAGGAGGGAGTAATGGCTGTCCTGTGACCCTCCCCTCATTCCTTCTATTGGGAAGTGGTGCCAGTAACTCCACTACCATGTGTATTGTTCTGTTCAATCGGGTGCCATGGCTACCTGGCCAGGGTAATCTCTAACCCAAAATGGCCATAGGATGATCATGTTATGTCCAAGGAAAAAGCCATACAATGGATAGACTGGGTTGTAGCTGAGAATACAGGTAATCATTTAGGAATAAAATATGGGAAGTATAGATACACTGAGAGGGTTAGACTTGTGGTGGTACCTGAAAGAAGCAGAGATTGAAGAGTGAAAGGCCACTGAATTTTATGAATGAAAGGTGATCTATCAGTTTCATTCTAATCCTAGGTATTTTCTACTTGAAGAGAGTGATTGTTGGGTGACCGCTCAGAAGAGCATCAAGTGCTGTGGTGATTTCCGAGGCAGCTAGCCTTCTGTATTACCACTGCTGTGACCAAGTACCCAAAAGGGGCAGGGATTGTACTTGATGTTAGATCGCAAACTCTTTAGTGTCTCTCTCTCTCTCTTTCCCTCCCCCTCTCTCTTCTCAGGCCACACTCCCCTCTGTAGTCTGGACTATAAAACAACTTACAGGCCCCTCTGAGAGTACTCGGGCCTGTGCTGCATGGATGGCAAAAACAAACCCAGTTCCTTCTCCTCCCACTCCCTGAAAACCCATAGAAGGAAGGAATGTTCTCTGTTTCTCAGGGACTGAAGGTCCCATCTCTCCTTCTCCCCTCCCAGCCCTTTTCTGGGTTTTGAAGGGAAGGCTCTAGCATGCTGTCTCTGCAAAGATGCTACATCCCTCTGAATTGCTCTTCCACCTCAAGGCCCCATCATACGCTCCCTTCTCTCATGGTCTTGAGTCTCTCACAATAAAGCTCATTCTGAAGGGTAATTTTGTGTCAGCTCCTTTCTCAAAACTATCTTCAGTTGTTCTTTTATCTGTAAGACTTGGTTGTCCAACAGGAACATGAGACTGTTGTAGATTTCCTTAGGAAATGTCCCATGTTTCTGGCACCTTCACCATCCTGAGGCCTATACTGCAACTTAGATTTCACCATTACAACTTCACACACAGCTCACGCCAGAGTTCCATGTAGGGACTCCAATGCTGCGACATATTGCCTGTCGCCATGGTGTTCAGGAACCCACTCTATAGCTTCTACAATACTGCTTTTTGCATGCCTGCAAGAATGGCATCACATGGGCAATACCAGGTTCTTTCGCCAGTTTGAGGTGCAGCCTCATCCCCTTGGATCATGGCTGCAGTAGCCTCTGCACACCCCCATGACTGAAATTTGGAAAACCTTTCCCTAGCAGCCATCCTGAGATTCAGTATCCTGAAAGCTCTCTGTGTAGGCATTCTTTTCAAATGAGTTTTTCAAATGAGGGTGCATGGGTGCATCCATGTTGTCTCTTTCCCAAAGGATGTGGTCTTACGTGTACTTTTCCTATTGTCCCAGTTCTGATTATTTAAAATCATTTGATATCACAATGTGGATAATAATGAAAACCTGTATTGTACTTTTACCTCATACAAGAACATGTTATACCTCCTTGCTATTAAGTTGCTCTTGACTAAGAAGCATATTCTATCTGGTAAAATGTGTATTTTTTAGTCCCAACTCACCATGTCAAAGATGCTAAATGCTCAAATAGTTAAAAGGAAAACTTCAGACTCAAACTTAATAACTGACCCCTTAGGAGTTACGCACATTTCACAAATCTTGATGAAGCGTTTTTCTTTAGGGAGGATCTCATGCCACAATAACAAGTAAGGAAATATTTAGATTTTAAAGAAGGATTTTCTTTGTTTATCCTTAGAGACTTCCAACATATAGGAGCTGGAGGACACAGCACATTGGAAATCAAGATGAAAATAAAAAGAAAAACAGGAATTCAAGTGTCATTCCATGTATGTAGTTTATTTTTTATTTCTTGTATCAGATAAAGTTAATCTTTCTTTGGATTTATTTTATGCAAGACATATAGTATGATCTTGAAGCAGTATTTGAGGATTTGATCAACAATAGATTAGAAGTTTATGGGATATTTAAGTTTTACTTTTTCCAAGTTATTTTAATACCAAAGAGTTTCAGTGAACCTTCAAGGATGGACAATGTTCTGTATGATTTCTTCCTAACATTTTTTTTTTATAGCAATGGCTTATAAGAAAGATGAAACCTCTGAAACTGTGAAGGCATCATTTCTTTTGCTAGTTTTATCTTTAATTTTTTTCTTCTTTCTTTCCTTTCTTTCTTTCTTTCTTTCTTTTCTTACTATTTTGTATGTATAAGTGTTTTGCCTGTGCATACATAAGAAGTGTACCTACATATGCAATGCCCATGGAGGTTGGAAGAGGGCATCAAATCCCTTTTTGTATGTATAAGTGTTTTGCCTGTGCATACATAAGAAGCGTACCTACATATGCAATGCCCATGGAGGTTGGAAGAGGGCATCAAATCCCTTGGAACTGGAGTTACAGATGGTTGTTAGCTGTCATGTGGGTGCTGGGAACCGAACCTGGGTCCTCTGCAAGAGCAGCTAGTGATCTTAACTGCTGAGCCATCTCTCCAGGCCAGTTCAATCACCAACCATCAGAGGTTGCTATAGCCATTTGCTTTCTTTATCTGTTACTTCTGACAGGTTGGAAGTAGGTGGAACACTCAGTGAATTGCCAATCATCAAATTTGCCACATTAAAATACGTAGTTTTTAAATCTTTAATTCTATTTAGATATTTTGATGGGATCACACCTGGCACAGCTGTAATCATATTCAGCTGTGTATACCAGAATCAGCATGAATAAAATAGAAGCCGAGCTAAGAGACCAGGCAACTAAATAAGTCAAACCAGTGTAAGGCTGACCTCATTAATTTCTGCAGAAGTCCTTGTGAAAGTAGCTGAAATATGGAATTGATAGTAATGTAATTAAACAGGTCATTAAGTAGGTTATTACTAATTTAAAATATTGAGAACCAAGGAACAATTTTGCACTGAATGAATTTTAGCTAAATATTAATTAATCCGAGGAACATACTTAGCGGAGATTGTTAGTTTAATATTAATAGAATAAAATTGAGAGACAAAAATCTAAGCTATGAATTTTTAAAGTTGTATCAACCAGAATGGTGATATTCCACAGATAAAATATATGCATCAAATATTAAACCTGTTTGTGCATAGTGGGGCCTGTTTTTTACAACTTGTGTTTTTATTCCTGTAGTTTTTTAGGGACCATTTTTTTATACTTCTGAAACTAATTTTTAAATCAATAAATACTGAATTTTATGTAGAATCTTATTGCACTGAGGTCAGCACATTTAATTCTGAATTTATGTATAATTTCTACATGTTGGTCTGTCAGATATTTGATTAGTTTTAGGTTTTAGGCCATGATGCAAGTGAACACTGGGATTTGCTCATGTAATAGTATTCTCTGCATATGAGCTGAGCCCAGCCTTGGTATGGGAAGATTGCTGCTATGGGAAGCTTTACTGCTACTCTTCTTTTGCATAGATGACTATAACAGAGTGCCACTTAAACACGAGCTGGAAATGAGCAAAGAGAGCGAGCATGACTCAGATGAGTCTTCTGAAGATGACAGTGACTCAGAGGAAACGAGCAAATACATCAATGCCTCTTTCGTAATGGTAAGTACTCATATCCCAAACCCTTTGGCAATCATATCCATGTTATTAGGTCCTTTCAATAAGTAATATTAAAAATAAGAGATGAGTTTGGTGATAATTACATATTCACTGGCATAAATTTTCACCTTTTACTACTATATCTGAATATATTAAGCTATCTAAAAATGCTAAAACTTAATGAGCTGTTTCAGGATAAGGCCATGATGTTGGTTATATTTTATGATAAATATAATAACTAAACTTTTAAAACTTTTTGGCTATTTAAATTTTAAAAATAAAAATTGAATTCAAATAAGTTTAGAAAGTATTAGTCAGAAGCAGGGCATGGTGGGCCTTTAGTCCCAGTACTCAGGAGGCAGAGGCATGTGGACCTCTATGAGATGGAGGCTAGCCTGGTCTACATACATAGAGAGTTCCAAGTAAGCTACAAGGGGCTGGGATAAGTCATTCTCTCAATGCTCGCCTCGCTGGTCTTGCTGGTTTTGTCTGGATTCTGACAGGCTCTCAGATGAGGTGAATTTGTATCACATAACTTAAAAGAAAAAAATAAAAAGCGTGTTTTATTCACCCTGTAAAGAACTTATCCATTCAGTAAGTTGGAGTTATTCCTTCTCCACATCTTCCTAATACTTCCATTCAATGAATATTAGCTTCCTTATGCCATCTCATTGAAAATGTGCAGACTCAAGTCAGAATAGAGGCATGATAAGGACCCTCTTAAATGACTAAGTTAATTCATCTTCACAGTTACAACAGTTTTTATAGAACAAAGGGGATTGTTTTAGAAAAGCCCAAGGGTTTTTGGCAGGTAGCATTGTATGTCATAATCATAATTTTACATTATTAGCTATGAGCTAAATATTTTATAGGTATTACATTTTTCTTGGGCCTGGGAATCTTACTATTTGTATGTAACAGTACTGATATCAAATAGTTTCCAAATGGTTAAGAATCCATCGCTCTCTTTCTCAGCAGTGGTAATAGACTCTCACCTTTGTTTGCTATTTAGAGTTACTGGAAACCAGAAATGATGATCGCTGCTCAAGGACCACTGAAAGAGACTGTGGGCGACTTTTGGCAGATGATATTCCAAAGAAAAGTCAAATTTATTGTTATGTTGACAGAGCTAACAAATGGAGACCAGGTTTGTGCTTCTTAGAATGTTGTTCTAAAAGCCCTTTTGTTACACATCACAGTTCTCCAGTCTTGCATTACCTGTTGTCTTCTGTGCTCACAAGGCTTTGAGTCCTCCGTGACACATTTCACTCTTTTAGTATTCCCGAGTTGCTCTTGCGTCTGGCTTCTGACAGTCTCTCATGCCTTTCCTTCCCCTGGCTCACCCACTGCTCATAGATTATCAAGGCACCACACTGAAGTGTCAAATACACAGCTATGTTTCATTTTTATTTTCTTCAAGATAAAACCCTGGGCCAGTGAGATGTTGCAATGGGTAAAGAAGCTTGCCACCAAGCCTGATGTCTTGAGTTCGATCCCTGGGATTCCTACAAGTTGTCTTCTGAATTCATATGCATGCTATGGCATATGCTGGCACAAAAATCAGGCTTTCGTATATATTTTTCCACTTTCTTCCTATCTCTCATTTTTTAAAAACATACTTGGCACTCTGGACAAGTGAGTTTACGGGCTGAGCCTTGGTGGCTCATTGGCAGTCTCACCACTTAGTCTTAATGTGCAAACACGCCTTGTATCTAAATGTGCCTTCTCTTCCTCCATCCACTCTGTTCTTCCAGCAAGAAAAAAAAAAAAAAAAAAAAACTCTTTTAAATCCCATGTTATATTACTATCATAATATTCTGCAACTGGAGGTAACTTAGGATGTTATTTTCTTTTCTACTTAATTCTGTGACAGGTATTCTTTAAGACCTTCAGGTATTAAAATTTCCCAGTGATAGATGATTTTGTACTTAGTTTTAGCCCCTATTACATTATCTGACATATGTTAAGGCGTATTTAGTGAAAACCCCCATAATCATGAAATAAGATTCACAATAACCTCTCCCTCTCCTCCCTTCTTCTCTCTTTTAGTCTCCGTCATAGGTTCCCACCGCTGCTCTCTCTTCTTCCTCCCTCCTTCCTGTCTCTCCTCCTCTCTCCCTGTCACATTCCATCTCCCTCTCCCTCATCTTCCCCTGTCTCTTGCCCTGAGCATTGTCAGCAGTTGTGGGATGGTTGACGGTAGGGTTTACAGAGGGAGGAAACAGGTTAGTGACTCCCTTACTCTCCAGTCTGATTCTTTTAGACACTGCCTTGACTTAGCCAATCATACAGTTGGTCATCTTGAAAACTTAAAGAAATATAAAGGACCAGTCAAGAAACATTGAAGGGGTCATGACTAATGCCATTTCAGTCGATAAACTTTGAAAAGGTGATGATGATCTGGGTATGGAAAGAGGAACAGATCTCAAAGACTCATACCAAGGGTGCCAAGAGTGATGGAGCTACCCCTGGCTACTTTGATGATACCTGTGGAAACACCATGCATTTGCTGAAGGGATTTTCACCATACTTGAAGTAGATTTTAGATGTTTATGGACAAGTTTCAATTTCAGAACAGAATAATTTCATTTAATTAAAATTATGATAGAGAAAGAAAGAGAAGAGAGAGAAAGAATATTCTCTGAACACTTCAAATAGCAAACATAACACTTGTGTAGATCTCACTAAATTGTGTTCTTTCCTGCATAGGACATCTGTGCCCAGTACTGGGGAGAAGGAAAGCAGATGCACGGAGACGTGGAAGTGGACGTGAAAGACACAAGTGAATATCCGGCTTATACTCTCCGTGTGTTTGAACTGAGACATTCCAAGGTAAATAAATAATTTTACAGGCATATATTTCTGATATAATTAATCTGATAACAAAACCAAATAACCTATCTTATGCAATCAATGCCTATGTCTTTATAATAACTCAAAATAAAAATTCTAAGTTATTTAAGTGAAAGCAATTGTGTAAAATGTAACTATCAAGTGATAAACTGGACTGAACTTCATTTGAGCTAATGCTTGCTTCACCTCTGGCTTTAGAGGAAAGATCCCAGAACTGTGTACCAGTACCAGTATACCACTTGGAGTGGGGAAGAGCTTCCTGAGAAACCCAAAGAATTGATCTCTATGATTCAGAATCTCAAACAGAAGCTTTCCAAGAAGAATTCCACTGAAGGGAACAAGTATCACAGGAATGCGCCCATCCTAATTCACTGCAGGTGGGCAGGATTTGATCCCATGTCCTCTGAAATCTTTCTGCTTCTTCAGCACTGTCTCTTAAATTTATTTATGCTGATGTATAAAACTCATGGCCCCAGCAAAAGGTGCTATAAAATCATTCACCTTCTTGTTATTCTCGGATGGTACAACTACAGCAATGTAAAGGAAGTAATGAATGTAGATCAATAGCATTAGGCTGTCAGTTCTTAAATATTAAGTTCCACGGCTTCACTGCCTAGCATTGAACCTGGAATATCATATGTGGTCAATGAATAGAGGCAGAGATAGAACCTATGAACAGAGTGGAGGATGGATTTCACTATGGATAGACCTATGTGCCTTGGGTTCACTCCACAAGATGTCACAGAATCCAACTGAATGTTTGGCTTTTACTAAATATATTTTAATCCATTAAATATTTTAATTAATTTAGGTAGTTGTGTGTGATTGTGTGTGTGTGTATGTGTGTGTACACTCATGTGTGTGCCCATGCTCACACAGGAATATGCTTTCAATACCATATATGTACAGGTCAGAGGACAAGTCTGAGAATTCAGTTCTCTCCTGTCACCCTGTGGGATCCAGGTATCCAACTCAGATCATCTGGCCTTAGCTTAAACAATGCTATGTGCTGAACCATCTCCAGGCTCTTGGCAGCTTGATTTTTAAAAGCTACTTCTAAGCTGATCTCCAAAGGCAAAGTTCGCAGTAATACAAATAATACTAATAATACCTGGCTTCATCAATTTTTGTTATGTAGACATTTAGATTTTACCTGTAGTAGATGTCTGCTTCTCTGCCTTCAGTAAAACATACTGGAGGACATGTAATGTGGAAAGTTTACATAGAAAGAATATTAAAATAAAGAGAAATGAACACTGGAAAAGTCATACGGGCACTGTAAATCTACTGGGATGCTTTTAGAATTTGCGAAAGTCCCTTATTTTTATGACCCTGTGTGTAGAAACAAGCCCTCAGAGAAATAGTCCTTTCAGCATCATTTGCATTTCTTAAAGTGAAATTTGCATGGAAAGAAAACTGAAGAACAGAAGATTAAGCTTTTATCTATTTCTATGGTGTAGCTGATGACTGCTCTGTTTCTTAACAATGCGGGTACCAGTACTTGCTGGTATCTCCATGAAGCTTTATTGTGTTTAATGCCCCCTCTTTGATACTGCCAGGGTTGCTAAATTATTTGGTTGTTCTTGTTTCAAGAACATTATGAAATTGGTCCTAACAACTTCACATGTTACTAAAATGCATTTAAATCCATGAAGTATTGAATGGGTGAGAGCATTTTTTAAAACCAAATGCAAGTATTATCAAACTATAGAATTATCATGGTCACAGTGATATATTGAGAAAGTTTGCCCCCAAACGCATTCACAGGAAATAATGTGGCCATTAATAAATTAGAGTGAAGATGACCACAATAGACATGAAATAAAATATTTCATCTCTGTTATTTTATGTGAATACAATTTTCTTCATAAAAACTGAATTATTCTATTTTCTCCTATTTTTAAAAATACCTTTTCTTTTTAATAGAGATGGATCTCAGCAGACAGGATTATTCTGTGCTTTGTTCAATCTCTTGGAAAGTGCAGAAACAGAAGAGGTGGTGGATGTTTTTCAAGTGGTTAAATCTCTGCGCAAAGCAAGGCCGGGGATGGTGTGCACCTTTGTAAGTGTTCCTCCTCTTGCTGTCATGGTGTTGGTGTCCATCTGGGCATGCCCTTCTCCTTGCCTCCCCTCCCACTCCTCTAGTTTTTTGTTTTTCTTTGCCCACTTTCCTTTCTACATTAGAATTCACATTGAATGATATTCAATATAAGTAAGACCTAATTACAATTTGTCATAATAAACCATACATCTTTAAATGCTCATGAATTATTTACCTTCCTCTAGTCCTTTATCAACTAGTCTTGGTATATTAACAAACCAACCCAAAATTTAGTGACTTAAATGACAGTCATACATTTCAGTGAGAGTCTGTTGATCTGCTGGATTTCTGCTGAGCTCCCCCAGCTCATCAATGAGATCCAGGCTCACTGCTGTCGGCTGAGGAGGCCGCTTGGGTCTGGCTGGCCTCAAATAGCCTCTACCGCCAATAAGCTGGCAAGTGGCTGTCATTTCCCTGTGGCAGCAAGAATGAGTAGCTGTGTTTCTCTGCTCACCCACAAGGCTAGCCCAGGCTTCTAAGTGTCAGAAGAGTAAGAAAGTGAAATCAAACCCAGGCCTGGAATAGAAACATACCTTACAACTAAAGAATTCCCAAGGCCAGCCCAGAATTCAGGGGTTTGCAATCACACTGCAAAGAGATATATGTACAGGGAGAACAATATTTGTTGCATTTATGAAATCAGTCATATATTATGTCTTTGTGACAGTAACCATAGTTGCAACATCAGGGAATTAGTAATTATATAGAAATACACACACACACACACACATACACACACACACACATACACACACACA